AGTCTCTCCCATTGAAACTGTCTAAGTTTTTAGTGAAATCTGATTCAAGTAAATCTAAGCATTTAATTTTCTCTTGCAGGGGTTGGTGCTGGATTCATATCTGCTCTGATATCCTTTTAATAAAGTTTTTACTCTTGTGAACATTGGTCTCTACTTGATTTACTGTTTGGGTGGCTACATATTGTGCGACCTTGACTGCATGAACCTTTTCAAGTATGCAGGTCTAGATATTGAAAAGTGAGTGCCTTGACAACTTGTTTCTTAGGCTTTCAGATGAGAGCTGGATTATGTTCTTATGACACTTTTTGACATCACCATTTTTGTAACATCATCTTTGCAGCCTTCAGAACTTGGAATGCTGTCTGTTTGTTCTTTTCCCTTATTTCTCGTAAGTTGTCCAATGCCTCCTTTATTGCAATAGGGTACCTCTTGGTGAAAGCTTTTTTCTAGTGATGTTATACACATTTTAAGGTACATGCTTGCGGAAGGTCTTGGGATGTCTGGTATCGTGTCAATACTGTTCACCGGGATTGTAAGTAGTCTAAGGACATGCTCTATTTTTTTTCTACAATTTTAATTTTTAAATGTTCTATTTATGTATAGTCACTATAGTTAAAGTCAAAGATCTATCTGAGGTTAATTCTCTCTTTTTCAGGTCATGAAGCACTATACTTACTCAAATTTGTCCGAGAAGTCTCAACAATTTGTATCTGGATTTTTCCATCTAATATCATCCTTAGCGGAGACTTTTATGTAAGAAATTTGATGCTGTTTAAATCAGTTTTCATTTGCTTGGGAGCTCTAGACATTTCTAACTTAGTCTTATGCAGATTCATATACATGGGCCTTGATATTGTCATGGAGAAGCATAGCTGGTCGCATATAGGCTTTATTTTCTTCTCAATTGTATCCTTCATAATTGTTTAAATTGTAAAAGGCTCATTCAAACAGTTAATTATTGGGTTTATTTTCTCATGTCACGCTGCTGTTCCTTAACTTGGTTTGGTTTTCCAGATAACTATTGTGCTAGCCAGGTAATAATACTTCGTGTGTGTTTTTTTTTATTCCCCGCTTTATGTTAATCTTTTGATAAATTTGTTGGTATTTAACTTGTGTTTGACACAGTTGCTGCTTCTAAAGATTGGAGACCACCTACAATTAGCTTCTCTTTGTCAATAATAAAATAGTTTAGTGTTGGCAATTATATAAGTTATAATTGTGCATCATTGCAGTCTATTGACATGTCTACAAGTTTACTTTTGTGGCTAGAATACATGTAAATTTTTACAACGGTGTGATGCTACTGTGTATGAAATTGCTGACAAGGTTTGCTATCATTTATGAAGGGCTGTCAATGTCTTCTCATGTGGATATTTGGTCAATTTGGTAAGACCAGCACATAGAAAGATACCAATGACGCATCAGAAAGCACTTTGGTACAATGGTATGAGTAACAACTTTATGTTTGTTACCTTATTATTTAAATACTAATATATGACATAACCCTAGTCAAAAGAAATGTGCATAATGCATTATACTCTGATCAGGACTTCGAGGGGCTATGGCTTTTGCTCTTGCTCTCCAGTCTGTTCATGATCTGCCTGAAGGGCATGGCCAGACGATATTCACAGCTACCACGGCAATAGTTGTTTTAACGGTAGTCTTTCTTTATCTCTCTTTTCGGAACTATGTGTTTTGACTTGAAATTTTAAACTTAAAGAATTTTTTATGCTAATGAGTGCTTCAATTTAAACTTTTTTTTTTCTTTCTCCATGGCCTTTTCGTCTTCGTCATCTTTGTTTTTCGTCCCTTTTGTTTCAGCTTCATTTTGTCCTGTGAATCAGTGAATGTTCTTTATTTACTCTGTCACCTTCTCCTCTTGGTGTCTGATTTGATTCTCTTTCTGTGTATGGATGTAATAATTGGACATTAACAATTAAAGGCCTCTAAACTCCTTTTTGTGTGTGTCTAAAGGTTGTGACCGACAGGATATTCTGTTTTGGCCTAACAAATATAATCTTTATGAATACTAAGTTTATAAAAGTCAGATAATTTCTAACATATTTGAGGAAGTGATTAGAGAAGGAAAATGGGCAAACTAATCAAATATAAATTTAACTGTAACAACCTAACCCTTCCTCTTATTGGTAATTAAGCTATACTCCCTCCGTCCTTACTATTTGATACGTTTGAAATCTTTTTGTGAGAGAAATGGTCAAAGCATCACAAACAGAAAGGAACAAAGGGAGTAGGTTTTTTTTTTTTTTTTTTCCTGGGAAAATGGTAATAAAGTTATATAAATTAATTTGTTTGTTTACCTTTGAATTATTTACCAAGAAAGTGTGTTGCCAAAAAAAAAAAAAAAAGAAAGAAAGAAAGAAAAGAACTGAGGCAAATTGATTCATGTCAAAGTTCGGCTCCACTGAGCTCGGCTCTTTCGCTGATTACCCTTAATTGGAGGCAATTCCCTAAAGAGTGCATTTTAAAGAATTTATTTTTTCAGATTGCTGCATCCCAGCTTGGGAGTTGCCCAATAAAATAAAATAAAATTCAAAACATTGACTTTGATTTTGACTGAAATGTGACATTGATTAACAATTAAGATATGTCCTGCAGGTTTTGCTTATTGGTGGAACAACAGGAACCATGCTTGAATCTTTGCAAGTTATTGGTGATACCACTGAGGGCCACCTAGATGTAAGTTTGAGTACAGAAATGCTCCTTTTTTTTTTTTTTTCTTTTTGACGGGACAGAAAGCCTGTTACTTTCTTTGACATAGAACATTTTTTTATTGGGCGTTCATTGTTTCGGTAGTCAGCAGTGGATCTTTTCTTGTTTTGCCTTGTTGAAAGGGTGTGTGTGAGGAGGTAAGAATTGGACTCTTTGACAGGGGGAACATGAATTCTTGAGTATCAATCAGCAGTCGTTTGATATGAACTATATAATGATGGATGTGATCCTAGGCTGAATCATTGTACTATGTTCTATTATCTGTTGAATTTTCACCAGTTTGCGAGTCTCATTATATGGTGTTAGTTAGATTATTCTCTGGCTAACTGGCTTGTTATATCATGCGGAGTACATGTGATAAATTTATCATGTTGGTGCTTAAACATTTGTAATTGACATAATTCCTGTTCTTAGGGCTTCAATAGGAACGATGGCTTCGTGTCTTCTGGCCAAGAAGACGAGGGATCATCTTCAAACAGATTTAAGATGAGACTAAAAGAATTCCATAGAAGGTAGTGTATAATGGCTCATGTACAAAAATTTGTTTCCATTTAGAACTATTGCTCTTAATTCTAAATAATTACTCGTTAAAAAAACAAAAATTGCAGTGCACCATCTTTTTCATCATTGGACAAAAACTATCTGACCCCATTCTTCACTACCCAGACCGGTGATGAAGAAGAAGAAGGTACGTATCATTCATTTTGGATTTGAGGACATTGAGGTTGAGTGCGAAATTTTCATTAGCTGTGTGCAGCATGCTATTTAACATGAAATTGTATCACTTATCTTGTTTTCATAAATCTAATTTATGGTGAAACAGAAAATCTGATGCCCACTCCAAGAAGAGAAGTCTACAGTACTCGTAACTGATTCATTCTTTTGCAATATAATGACGATTAATCAATAGAGAGTATTCCTGACACGGCGGATCATGCTTTAACAACTAAAAGCGGCCATTCACAAAACTTCAAGTTTCGTACATATGCTAGTGAGCTGGTTCACGCTAAAGCTGGAAGTAGTGATGTCCATTACTACTGTAAAACATGCATATAAACTGGTTAGCTGGTTAGTTTGCTGATCATTGTCTGATTCCTATAATTTTAGAGATCAGGTGTTCCTTGTCAGAGTTTAATCAGGTGCGATGGATTTCAAATTCAATGCATGTATAGAGATCATTTGTACTGAACTTCATGGCTGTTTCATCTCGTGTGTATCCAAGAAACAAAAAGAACATTTTTTCTTACAGTATAGTGTGGCATTCGTCACTTACAGGGTTACATTTGCAAACTTGCAATAGATGAGCTTGATATTTGATAGCAATTCAATAGTTATTACGTAAGGAGAAATGAGTATGTTCTAAATAGTATAAATGTTGTCTATCCCCTATGAGTGAAATGAAACCTTTACTCACAGATTCCACTAATTATTTGTTTAACAGTTGGTAAATTTATTTCCAAGGAATGTTATAATGCTATTTAATCACTTATTGATTATGGCTGAACTAGTTTTATCAGATATTATTTGGCTTATATGTAAATTATGGTTGAACTAGTTTTATCAGATATTATTTGGCTTATATGTTACATATATAAAGCTAATTTATACTTTGTATTAAGTTTTAAAATTTCTCAACTTATGTTGGGTATTATTGGATCAATTCACGGATGTTGATAAAAAGTAGTACTTGGTCCAATGAGATAGATTGTATTTACTACCATTAAGGTTGTGGGATTAATCCTGACTAAGAGACAATGTGGCGGTGGGGATTTCCTTATTCTTTCCCCTCATTTCCAAGGAGTCTTGCTAACCCAGATTGGGTTGACCTATGAGAGGTTTAAAATCGATATGAGTCATATGACACCTTCCCCTAACTTGCCAAAAGGGGTTTGTTAAATGACGTTCGAATTTTACTAGGTAACGATCATATATAAACTTGAATGGCTGAATATACCCTCGCGTGTATTTTAAAATTTTCACCTGTCTAAATCAATCTAATATTCTCTCTTTCCAACAAATCATCACGAACCACCATTGGTCGGGGATAATGTTCAGGTATAAGACATATAAAATCATTATTAATCCTAACCACTAAACTCTAGCCCTAACTGGCTAACTCTAAACCCTAATGTAAATAGGGTTTACTGATAAATTTACTCACGAAAAATTTACCATAAAGGAAAAGCGTTTATTTGTTGTATATGTGTAACATGACTAACATCCCACTTGCTTCAATTCGATGATGATGAGTTCCTATTTCCTAAATACGGAGTTTAACTCCAAAAGACTAGACTTGAGATAGACTCAATTTCTAAAAAAATGTAACCCAATTTTTTAAAAAAAAAATCTGCCCCAACTTAACCAATTTGAATGGTTGAACCCAATTTAACTTTAAACAACCGCACAACACAATGATCCAATACGACCCGACCTAAACACCCGATTTGATACAGGAGTAGTCCCTCATTAATTTAATCCTAAAGTTGAGATCTTGAATTTCTGATCAGAATTTTGTTTTACTGCACTCACTTTGTCAGTTTGTTTTCTACTTTCCCTCATTCATCATTAACAATTCTTCAGATTCATCACACAAATTTTTTCGTTGCATTATCATACATTATACAATTCCTAGATTCACCATTTTTTCTTTGTTAATTTTCTATCATATTATAGTTTCAATTACAAATTTCATTCGATCTGTCCAAATTATCACAAACCCAGAACAAATTTGGCAACAAAAAATGCCGCCCCCCGAAATTTCTCGGCGATTTTCCCTATTTGGGATCGGAGAATCGAGTAATAAGCAAAGCTCAATTGATAGAAAAAGGGAAGAATTGATCCCAATTTTGAAGCTTGAAACTGATAAAAATGTGTATAGACCTGGTGATGAGGTTTTGGTTACAATTGAGCTTCAAAACCCTAGTGATCCAAGCAATTCCCATGAAATTACAAGTAGTTCTGAGCGTTCCCTTTTGTTAGAAAGGCTTGGTTTTGAGCTTAAAGGGGTTGAGAAGCTTGATACTCAATGGTTTACTGCTCAGAAACCGTTACCGGGTTCGAAACAGAGGAAGGGTTTGTGCTCTTTCTCTCTCTTCCTATGTTAATTTCCAGTTTTGGTTTGTTTTAATTGAATTTAATGTTATTGGGGTATTGATATGTTTGGAATTTTGATCATGTTTTGAGTTGAGCTTTCTGATGTCTCAGTAGTGTATATAGAGGATTAGGCACTTTGGTTGAGGAGTGCAATTCTGTGTGAATTTGGGGAGGAGGTGTTGAGGGGGCCGAGGCTGCCGGGGCAGAAGTGACCGGGAATCGTTTTAAAGGATTGAATTGAAATGTCACATGTATGTTCTAAATGTATTAACAATGTATACTTTTTAGTTAGAGTTACCATTGGCCTCTGAAGATTATACTATCAATGAAACTAATACAAATTTAATATGTTTCTTTACTTGGTATTTGTTTGGTCTCTCTTAGCACTTTAGTGAAAAGAGGTGTGGATGAAGTGTAGCATTACATGTTAATCAATGGCCTTATTTTATATGCCTAGTTGTCATATATTGTGATTGTGAATGCAAGCAACACTCTTTGGTGCAATGTCCGGATATGCGTTTGTCATAAGTTGCATGACTAATGGTTTAGTTATTAGTTGCTTGAAATGTATCTTGGAGGAAAGTAGAGTGCTATAAAAAGTAATTTACTCACACATGTTGGATTGACTATATAATTTTTATTTCTCAGGTGAGCATGTGTTCTTGGATTATTCTACAACATCATTAGTCTCAAACCAGATCATTTCTTCTGGGGCTACTAAAAAGTGTGAGTTGATTTTATAGTTATTCTTCCTAACTCTCTTGGATAAAGATATTCTGTTCTAGTTACTAAAAGGTATTTATTCTGATCTATTTCATGTCACTCTAACACCAGCTTGCTTTATTAATTATTCTGCTAACAATCTTTATCATAAGTGTATTGGTAGAACACCCTATTGGTTGCATATAACTAAAAATTATATTTCTTATGCAAACCTCATATATTTAATAGCTACAATCTTATTAAGTGGGAATATTATAAGAAGATAAAGAAGGTCTGAGAATTTTCATATAGTAGTTGTTTAAGGCCTTTAAGCCCTTTAAGGTGGCGAAGGATGGGAGTGACTTGTAGCGGAGATGATAAGTAAATCTGAAATTTTATTTGGAGATTAGGATAATACTTTTTGTGACATTATGCATGTTTTTTTATGATTAAACTTCTAAGTTAGGGTAGCCATTTCCACTTTTATCTTGTTCCCAAAGTACCTTTGGAGAAGGATAAAATTCATGTCCTCATGTTACGAGTTGGGCGATGACATTGCAATCAGTTTATTAGATGGCGAAAGCATAATCTATTTCTTTTTGACGGAGTCTTGACAGCTCGAAAGAACCCTAGTTTCTTAAGTTGCTGAATATTTTACTCTGGTCTTGATTGTCCAGTATCACTCTATTCTCTTTGTTAAATCTTTTCAGTCTACTGTCCACCTAGGCTTGAGAAGTCGATTAGGGACTTCCTTTTGGATGTGGATGATCAAAAGATTCATCTTGTACGTTGGGGCTTGGAGTGTAGGCATGAAGTTGAGATTATTCATTGGTTTTGAGCTTTTGATCTGTTGAAACATATTCTTAATGGAAAGTATTTGTGTTATATCTCTCTTGCAAAAGATGCTTATGCAACAGAGCTATTGGTCTTCTCAAGAACAGTTAGGATGTATAAAGAAAGCAAAGTTCAAATTAGTAAATTCTCAGTGTTCAATGCCAACTTGGAAATAATTAAAGTATTATATGTTAGGATGAGGCATAACATAAGGTTGCATACTGTAATCTGTCATTTGTTCGACCCTGTTACCTTTCAGTTGCTCATACCGTTACTTTCCTAAGCACATAGAGAACCTTCACGACTGTAGAAAACTGTTTACGAGTCAGATTTCAACAAGCTTCTTAATCAAAGTCCATTTGGATAGGTGCTTTTATTCATTTATATGTCTGAAAACAGGAGGCATATGATGCTCGTTATTTCACATTTGGCCCCTGGTCAATTTTCTGTTATCCTTGAGTTTTAAAATTCTTCAGTTTGTACCCCTCCCTCATCCCAAGGTAACACATCTTGTTAGAAAGTGAAACAAAAACCATTCCATGGTTACTAACTACTGCTACCTCCCCTTCATAACTCACCATGAGATTATAACTAACCCTCAAATCTACACTACTCCAATCATTGTTTGACGAGAGAGAATGAATACCTGATTGAACGTAATCCTTTACCATCATGTATCATCATGATCAATGCCCAATTCTTCTCAAAGAAAGCTTGCCAAGAAGAAAGTGGCCAATCAAATTTAGTTCTAACAAACCTGGATAGGGTGATGCTAGGGCTATTACCTATAGTTGATCCTTTAATGTCTTGAGGACAGCAAATGAGAACAATGAGGAGAAGAAACCTATGGGAAAAATTGGAGAAAAAAGGTCTGCTTTGGCAATTTCTGTAATCCAAACGGTTGCTTATGTCTTTTGGTTGTTCACTTGACTGCTACTTCTGGTATTGTACTTGTTTATATCTAATATGTTTCATCAGCACTTGCCTTTTGTATTCTGTATTCCTGTTTATATAGTAGTGCCACTTGGTTGACGTCATTTACTCATCATTCATCAGCTCTTATGCTTAAGTGAATCTCGTTATGTTTTTGGTTTATATGAAGTCTGTCATCTACTTTATGCTAATTGTCTATTAGAAAATTGTCTTCACAGATGTGGTTCGAACGGTTTTGCCTAGCATCATACCGCCATCATACAGGGGTACAACAATACGATACTTGTACTATGTTAGAAGCACTTTTTCTGGGCAATGGTTGATACTGGAAAATGGCCACACAGAGAGTGATCTGGCTCATAATATTACTGGACTGGTTAGTTCTTATTGATTTTCTTATTTTTCTTACCCTTTTGAATTTAGAGAATTCAAGGCCCGCAACCATTTATTATCTCAGCACCCTTCTTGGCCATGTCCCGTTGTCTCGCTTACATAGGTGGTTTTTTCGTTTCAGACTTTGTATTTAGATTTAGGTTTAACACAATAGATCTACTCGTTCTGCCCACCTCATTTTGATGACCATTTTTGGTATACCTTATTGTAGTGTCAATTCTTTCTTCATACGACCATTGTGTCTTATTGTTTTGGCTGGTACTCCCTTTGCTCCATGTTAACTGGTGTTTTTGCTTTTTAAAGATGAACTTATACTGATAATTATTTTGAAACACTGAAAAATATAATATAATTTGGTAGATTCGTAAATTCTAAAAATTTATTTTGTTGTAATTCTTTAGTCAATATACCATGAGAAATGTTTGCAGTCAAAGTTTGATAACAAAACAACGGTTTATATGGGATGGAGGAAGTATGTGTTATTCTATTCTTTTACATGACCTTTTCAAACATCACCGTGCCGAATGACTTTGGCATTCTAACCTTCTACTCTTGAAGTAGTTCTAAGTCTAACCCAAGAAACTCAATCTCTTCTATAATTATCCCCAAAGAAGGCAAAGCTCTCCTCCCAGAATACCTCTGTCTGATGAGTCTGGAAAAACTCATGATTTTTTTTTTTTTTTTTTTTTTCAAAATTTGGAGAAACTAATACATCTTGATGTTATTAAAGGATTAGTTGAATAATATCAATATCTTTTTTTCCTTTTTAAAAAAAGATGATATTGGTGTGATGGATAGGGAGTGCTTCTAAAATCATGGAATCAAGTGGCAAGGGTTTTTGTAAAATTAATCTGTTGACAGCAAATTTGTTCAATTGGAATATGAGAAAAGGGCGAGTGATAAAAAGTTGTTGCAAAATTTGCTGTTGAAATAAAATTTGAAGAAGAGTTTAGAAAAAAAGTCTGCTTTCATTGCTATTGGCATTGCTTCTAATTGGGGGAGTAGAAAGTTGTGTGCTTGATGAAAGATATGGAAGTACTGTTTTGATGAATTTAAAAGCTTAGCCAACATTCAAGCTAGAGATTTACAATAGGTTTTTTCAGTTTATGTGAAAGAGTTTCCTTAATTGAATTGGCCCAATGGGCACTTGACATAGACAAGGACAAATATGGAGAGATTTACAATAGGTTTTTATATCGTTGTTATAGGATAAAGTTTTCAATTCAGATACCTTTAACCGAGTTATTCAGTTATACAGTAAGGTAGCATTACAATAAACCTTTGTTTTAAAAAAAGCATATTTTTTTCCTCTTGAATTATAGTCAGCTCAGCTCCATTCAATTTGTTTCAATTTTGTTCATTTTTAAAAATTAACATGGTTTACTCTTACTGTTTAAAGAAGGTCAAACTGTTGGTCTCGTTTTCTCATGAATGCACATTCCTAATAGGCTAATAATGCCAGAGAGAGTAAATATTTGGAGAAGTTTATATTGATGGTCTCCATTTTTCACTTTTTACTATTAATATATATATTATACACATACATTGTCATGAAGAACCACTAACGCGTTATGTGTTTCACACCATTAGTGGTTTTGGGTAAAGCCACCAACAGTATTAGCGGTAATCTAGGGTGAAATAGGAAAAAAAAAAAACATTATCTGTCTTATCCCATGTTCACAAAATCTCAGGAATTATTATTTTACAAAAATGCAAATTTGATTTTGTTTTTGTTTTTTTTTTTTCAACGAGAAACTTGAATGTAAAATCATATCCTTTTTGCTTGTTGGTAATTAGATTATATGGTAAAAAAAAAAAAAAAAATTATGGTTATTTTTTGACAATATCCAAAATTTACAGGAAGCTCGTGTCCCCTTGAAAATTTGGGTTACTCAACAGGCAAGTGGACTAACGATTGATGAAGATCAAGCGGATGGTAGGTCTTTATTTTTTTTTTTTTTTTGACGGGGTTAATTTTTTTTTCCTTCAGGAGTACTTTTAGTGTAAACTATCCTGGTATACATTTACTGCCTATTTACTCTCTTGCTGATTGATAATATCACAATCTTGCACGATGAAAATTTTGAATAAGGACTAAATATTTCATTACTGGCCTTTTTTAATCCCACCATTCTATTTTTTTTCCTCAGTATAAGCTTATGGGATTAAGGCTTTGATTGATTGATTTATAAGCTGCTAATTTCTCAAACATTCATGAAGTCAAAATATACGTTATGTCTGCTGATAGAGAAAATAAAGAAAAAGCATGCCTCCATAGGTGGGGAGAGGTGGGGGAGGGAGAGGGAGAGGGAGAGAGAGAGAGAGAGAGAGAATGGGGGGTGGGGATTAATCTCTTCTTTCATTCTAAGTCACATGAGAGGTAAGCAAGCAAATCTTATTATGTATTATCCTCTGAGACAAAAAGACATCTTTTGACTCTTTTCCTCCCGTAAATGTCACTTGACAAGGAGATACCACTCCATGTCATCTTTTACCAATGCATGTAATCATGTTAGTGGCTCTAAGCTTGTTGGCTCAACTTCAGCTCTTACAAATCTAGTTTGGAGTTTCAGCCAATCCGGTTACGGCTTTGTAGAACCCTTGCTGGAAAATATCTTCTGTTTGTGCTGTTCTACATTGAAATTGCAATTAATAATCATTTTGTCATGTTTTTAGGAATTGTACCGGTCCAGACCATTCAAACAGATATATATTGGAAAGAGCTCGATGGGGATTCGGAGTGGGTAAGCTTATGAACCTTGTTTTCACTAATATTTCACGCGATATCTTGTATTCTCTTCAAAGCAATCGATACAGCAAGTTTCCTGGTGCTATTTATTGCTTTGAGAAATCTTTTCAGCTTATCTGCTTATGTGACACCAATGACGCTTGTACTCACCATCTTTCCATATGTGCCCATTAATTATGAATACGAGATACACCCTCTTCCTGTCTCTCTCTGAAAATCCTAAGTAACCCTGTAGTACTAGAAGGTTGAGGAAAAGATAAAAATATGAGGAGGCTAGGGTCTAGTTAAAATGTCAAAGGGGTTTTTGAATTTCATATTGTACTTTCCTTTAGTTTTGCTTAATCTTTTCAAGATGCCAATAAATCTTTTCATTTTCAAAAAATTAGTTTTTGTTTCTTATTTGTGCTTGTAAATTGTTTCTTATTTGTGCTTATAAAAAATATAGTAAACTATTTAACAAAATTCAGCTTGTTTGAGCCACAAAATGCTCTGTTTCTTATCTGAGGTGCATAAAGTTAAGTGTAGGCCACCAGGTTGAAAGTGGACAGGTCAAAATAGATGTCCTCCCTTAAACTGCTCTTATCTGAGAATATCTTTTACAACTATACCTTAAATTTGGACATGTTGGAACAGCTAACACTCAACTAGTCAACTGTGTCAGTGAATCATTAAGTTCAGAACATTCCACGTCACTCTTGGGTCTATATTGATTATTTGATCGACTCTTGGTTCTATATATTACTCTGATATCTTGTATTCAATTTCAACCATCATAACTTGACACAGCTGTGATATGAATCATTTCTTAATTTTGAACTGTTTTTAAAGGTTAGGGCTAATGATATATATGATGGAGCTGAGGAAGGCTATGATAGTTCGAGGGACGAAGTTTTATCTATTTCTTCATATAATCCATCAAGAGACAGTCTTCACAAGTCATTTGGCAGTTCACTATCTCTACAAGGATCGGCCTCAAGGTCCTTTAGAGAACCCCCCTTGCATGCAGAAGCTGATGAAGTTCTACATAATTCAATTGGGGGTAAGTAAAGCAGCTGATGTCTTTCAAGCAACTGGCTTCTTTTTCAAGGCCTTTTAAGTTAAAAGTAATGTCATATATCCAATTGTGATACAAAGCAAATTTTCTCTCTGCTACCAGATATTTTGTCATCCAAGAGTCCTTCTGTTATCTCTCCAAGACTGCAAAGAGGATATTCAAAAACTTTTTCAAAAGATGAAGATGAAAAGGGACCATCTTCTCCCATCCAAACTACAGAGGCTGCTGCATGTAATTGTTACAATTTCATGTCTCATTGTCTCCTATATTCTGTTCGGCACTTCAAGGATCATTTATCATGTTTCTTTACATTCTAATTAGATCCAAACATTTTCTGCAGCAGAAAGCTCTATGCGAGGCAGGTCTTATAACATCAAGCTTGATGATCAAGTTCTGCTCAGGTTCTCACCCAAGAAGTCAGATTCAAATTATTATTTCAGTGATATGGTAAAGTTGTAGGAATGCATAGTGAAATTTGTGCTCTGTCAGATTCCCAAATTCGATTTTAACACTTTGGTAATAGATAGGTGGGACCCTTACCTTTTTTCATGAAGAAGGAACAAGGAGGTGCCTTGAGGTAAATAATTTTTCACAAATGAAAACATCATGAAAAAAAGTCAGATGGTTTGCGGTGATGTAATTCGCTATGAGACTTGTGATTTTCCAGGTATCGATCACCTTGGAGATTTCGGAGACTATAAATCGACGTTCTGTCCACCCTTCCCGGAAGAACTCCCCTACGCTTACAAAGGTGTGGTTGTGTTTCTCAGTCATCTCTTAAAAAAAAAAGCCTTAGTTGCTTTATGTTTACTCTTCTTGCTATCCTTCCTGGTTATTCTATCTCAATTTGGTTTTGAGACAAAAGAATTGTTTGTTTCTTGTCATGCGTTGAAATTTGTGTCTAACTGTTTTCCTGCACATTTTATAAAGCAGCTCATGAAAACATTGATACTCCGTATTTTGTTAGGGGTACCTAGTAAGTAAACTTCACGCAATATTTTCCATGCTTTCCATCTCCCTAATCTTCGTATTTATTGAACCAACTAACCTCCTAGCTTCCTCTCCAAGCCAATCCCAACAGATTTTTATGCATTACCAAAATTGCCCCTCCCCTTATGTCGGTTTATTACAGGCTTTCCTAAAAGAGCTAGAGCAAAGCAGTTTGTATGTTTTCGTATCAGTTGCAGCACTGGCTACCTTCTCTGGTGATGGTGCTTCATGTTATTTTTTTAGCTGCAAATCACTCCTTTCTTCTCTCTCTTTAAATATATCCTCTCCTACTCCACCCCCTTGAAAGTTTTGGGTGGGATTTTTTTAACACCTAGAAGGGCTAGAACTAGTGAAGTCTGTTTAACCTATCGGAATCATATCATATACAAACCCTAAAAAAAAAAAAATTATATAATAAAGGGATAGATGAATAAATGCTTACCATACACTAATATCAAGACATACACCAATTAACCTAATAAGACATTGCATAAAGCAAGGTAGCTAGTATACTATGTTCCTGCGCACATTCCACATAGCAGAGCGTATCACTTGTAGCTCCCCCCCCCCCCCCCCCTACCCCTAGACACACACCAAAAAAAAAAAAACCCTCCACTCTATTTCTGAAACTAAAGCTGTTACGATGTTATGCATCAAATATCTGGTTAACCTCTTAATCTTGGATGGATGCTGACAATACTTTCTTCTAAGCTTTAAATGATTTAGGTTTGTTGTTTCATCTGCTCTACAAAATTTGACCTGTCTTATCTGCTCTACAAAATTTGACCTGTCTTTTTCTCACTTTTCTGCTTTGTGATCTAATTTTATGTAGGTTCACAGTGATCATCACGAGGTTGTTGCCGACTTGGTGCAGACTAGCTTTCTATTTTCCATTCCCATGGACGGACCAATGTCTTTTTCAACACCTCATGTGTCTGTTCAATGGGCTCTGCGGTTTGAATTTTTTACCACTCCGAGGAATATTGACTGGAGTAGGTAGGCCTTTTTTGTTTGTTCAGCTCACATACTTTACTTGGCGGGATTAGCTAATTGCTATCAACTGCAAAGTTGATGGGCATTCTGCTATTATATGTCTTTGAACTCATATGCTAATAGGCAAAAGACAAATACTCTGTATTTAGCATGCAGCTGAAAACCAACACCAGTTTTCTGGTTATATAAGAGGCTAGTGACTAATTCTGTTCAGCTTAATTTCAGTTCAGTTCCAATTAGTTTAGTTCTAATTTTCTTCTCTCATAAACAATTCATTTCAGCTAAGCTCAGTTCAGTTCAGCCCCAATCAGTTCGGTTCAGTTGTTTTCAGTTCATCGGAAGAAACCCTAAGAGATCTATCAGTAGTACTTTATAGTATGTTTTATCTTAGCTGTTTAACTTTGCCACCTAGTTTCCCCTTTTTTGGAAGGTGAAATGTCGCTGTGAGTTGAGTGCTTTTGTATGGATGCAGGATGCTGACTTTATGTAGGTTAAGCACTATGATTTGCTCCCAAAATGTAGTGCAGGGTTATCTTTTCATTCGAGGATCTTTCTTGTCTGTCACCTTGATTGTTTTGTCACTCTATTGTTTGCAGGTATGGTCATCCTCTTTTAGTTGAAGGGAGAGACAAATGCGAGTGGTGTCTTCCAATTAATGTACATGCACCTCCACCTGGAGCTGCTGCTGTTGCACACGCGAGACATAGAAAGAACCTCTCTAGTGAGCCTTTTTGGGCTCGTGACTGAAGGTAAAGCTGAAAACTGGCCTACCATCCCATTTTGCACAAAAAAGTAAAAAATTATAGTAAAAGGTTAGGATATGTGCATTCACTTTGTCATATGCCTTCCCGAGAGGCGACAACTAACATTCATATAAGGTTAGTCGAGTCCTGATAAGTTTTTTTAAGTGGAAGTTTAGTCAATAAAACACATCCTACGTTGTAGACCATGAACTTTTTTGTATCTCTGATGATTTTGAAGGGAAGATAAATTGGAGGTTTTGTGAAAACACCTTTGACTTGGGTGATTTTTGTGTTTGCTTTAAATGAAGTCGGGGGCTTGCATGATATTACCATCGGGCCATCGTACTACTTCATTTTGCGACTGTAACCTTTCAAAAACAAATGCTAACATAATATTTACAGGTTCTCTCAATTGAACAACCGATGGAAAATTTTCAGCGTGGCTATATACGAGTTAAGTAATTCTGCTGACAGTTCAAGTACACGAGATCTTCATTGCTTGAAACAGGACAGCTAAGGTTATACAACATTGAGTCGGGATTTACATATTACAAGCAGCTCGTACATGACTATCTCAGCAGGAACTTATATTGAAATGTTCCCTTTTTTGGGGCTGTACTCTATAGACACGAGATCTTGATCTTACCATAATACAAGTTTTATACATTTCTATAATGATGTAATCGTCGCCAACTCGCAATCAGTTAGAACAGGGTTGATAGCTTGGTGCTACGATCATTCTTTGAGATTTAAACTGGTTATTTGATTGAACGGCGATAATGCCGTTTTTGATTTATTTTCTTTTTGGGTCTTCCTTTTGTGTTGAAACGATTGACTTCACGAGTAGAATCTTGGACTATTGTATGGTTTGTGTTAAAAATCTGTTAATTGTTGGTTGGTGTTAATTGTAAAGTATAAGCTTTAATTATGGCGTATATTTGGATTTTAATACCCTATAATTTATAATAAATATTGAAAAGCCAAAACCATAGAAACGTTTCTAGCCTCACGAGTTAAGTATGAAAGTACTATGCTCATAATATAGTCATAAAGGTTTGGAGTTATTTCTAAAGGTAGAATCATTTGTGAGATTTGTAATTTATACAAGTACTGGGTTGAAGATGTTTAACACACAACTGGTTGTATCTTGCACGTTACAATTAATGTGATTTATTCGAAGATATTTAAAAACAAGTATTCAACTTATTGTATCTTGCACGACATAATTAATATTTTTTTTAGGGTGATGTTCTATGCAACCCTTATTTTCCCTTTTTAGTATTAAGTTGAAAATTTATCGACAATTCACGAGTAAATCGGTGTAGTAAATGTTTATTTATTGTCTATTTTTTTATTTTAAAAAATAAAAAATATCATGCAATTATAACATACAAAGTAAAATTTGTTGGTCTTGTCATGCACAAGGTATAAATGTAAAGTTGGTTGTAAATGAAAAATTGTCTAGAATATAAGTACTCAAAAGTTTAAAAAAAAAAAAAAAAAAAAAAAAAAAAACTGAATTAGTTTAAACAATACTCTGTACCTATTGACACACAAGAATGTATTTAATGCTTACGGAGTTGTTAATTTTTCTTTTCAATTCAATTTGTGTGGCAAAGTGATTTATGGAATCGTCACCATCAATTTTTTTGTGCAAAATATAACCTATCCTAATTTAAAGCGATGATATTTTGGGTGTACTACGCTAAGTATAATATTGATTCTTCCAAAGTTTACTAAAATTTTATTGTTCACGCGCTTAAAAAAAAATGAAAGTCTGAAATTAAATATTGCGTTATGTTTTAATTATTCTTAAAAAATAAATCTCTTAATAGTCTTTTGTCAAAAAAATAATATAAAATAAAAATAAAATAAAATAAATCACAAATTTACAATAAAGTATTGAGGAACCTTCATATATAATTATGTAAAATAAGCTTTAAAGTTGATACATTGACTTATATCTGTATCTGATACTCTTAATCAGCAGGTAGTAGTGTTTTAATCGCTATAATCTTCTACTTGTACTATTATAAATTTATAATTAATACCATTTTTGGCATCTGAAAATGAAATGTGAAACAAATCAAAATTCAAAGTAATTACAAGATTCTTATCCAAATTAATGGGATTCTATGAGATTCTTTATGATTCCATCCTGATTCTAATTCTTAGAATTTGGGAATTGGAATAATGGAATTTTCTTGATCTATATTTCCAAAGAAGGATGTTACATAATTGACTACAATAATTGAGATGACCCCTTTCCTTTTAGGCATAATTTTTACTGTCTCACAATAAGTTGTTGTAGCAGGTTCGCTATACTAAAGGCTTGTTTAAATTCATTTGTCGTGCTATTGACGAGTCAACACAAATTAAGATCAAATTGTACCTCAATCATACTTGTAACTTGTCTAACTTCTTTTAAAGTAGGTGAAGAATTCTATAGGTGTTAATCAACTAATGCCTTTGTTACAATTTAGCTGTCACAAACTCACAATTAATTCTAGGTTTATAGCCATAAAATATTACTCTCCTTAAATTCTTCAACATACGATGTGATCAACCACACAAAAAAAAAAAAACCGTTGACAATCAAATGTAACAAAAGCACACATAAGTGCATAACGGTGTACACATATATACTAGTATAAAGTAAAATATAATTTTTTTTTTAAAAAGCATAAAAATATATTTTTAAAAAATAATATTTTTTAATACTTATTTTAATTCACCAAGCAACAACCCTCTTGTATAGATTCTTTGATCTATATATAGACTTGCTCTACACCAAAAGTCTTCATTCTTGAATTCCCCTTCTCTTTCTCCTTCATCACTTTCTCTCTCCTGAATCTTTCTATTCACATTTTTAAAAAAAAAAAAACAAAAAAATGTCTCAATTGAACGATCTCATTAACCTTGATCTCTCAGAAACATCTGAGAAAATTATTGCTGAGTACATATGGTATCATTAATCAAACCCTTTTAATTTCTTTTTTATCTCACTCTGTTTATTTTTATGAATAATTTTAATATAATTTGTTCGTCGATGAACGACTAATTAATATATCGATCACAGGATTGGAGGATCTGGCTTGGATATGAGAAGCAAAGCAAGGGTATATATTTTTTTATTTTTCAATACTTTTTTCTATTTCATATTGTCTGTTAAAAAGTGTATTCATTTATTCTATTACTCCTTCCGTCCCTATATATTCTATTACTCCCTCCATCCCTAAATTACATTCCTAATGCTAGATCATTATTTTGATTGTATATTATTTTATCGGGTTTAAAAGTATTTCTATATGATAGTAAAATAAAATAAAATTTTTACGACGAATATACAGACTTTGCCGGGGCCAGTGAGTGATCCCGCAAAATTGCCAAAATGGAATTACGATGGATCAAGCACCAATCAAGCCCCTGGTGATGACAGTGAAGTCATCATTTAGTAAGTTTTCTTAATTATTTTTGTGATATTTTTTTTTTTTTTGTAAATTTGATTGATTTATTAATGTGCTTAAGTTGCTAACCATGATTTGTTTTGTTTAATTCATTGATGCTAATTTTTAATTGATATATAAATTTAAGATAATTTTCTTTAAGGTTGAGGCACGGAGTTTGTTACACTTTTTGTCCCAAAAATATCCTCATTTGTTCTCGAGATACCCATATAATAAATTTTCCGTATAAATTACAGATTAATCTATCATTTTTTATTTTTTATTTTTTTTTAGTCATTAACTTTTGAAAAAATCAACGACATAAAATTGAATGTTATATTTTTTACACATTTCCATGTGAGAGGAGTATCAGAGTATGTGCGCTAATAATGAGCGTTTTAAATCACTTTTTGATGTGTCAAAATCATTTCAGTAATCTCTTTTATAGGTAACTAGGTAAATTTTACTATACAGAAAACATAAAACGTAGAAATAAATCATAAAATGTGCGGGATAATGGTAATCGTTCACTAATATGATTAACAGCTGGCTTAGGAAAAATAAAAGGGTACTTACATTGTACTCACTGTATATAATTATTCCAAAAATAAAAAAAGATACATGTAGATTTAAATTCAAGGTTGAAAAAGAATCAATTGACAAAAATATGTTGGAAGTATTTGAAAGATTCTTATTAATATTGAGAATCAGTATTTAATTCGTGTGATCAGTTGTGTGCGGTAGGTTAATATAGTCATAATTATCACCAGCTGTTTTTTGGGGACCTATCAAATATGGTTAAATGTACCTTTATATTTTTAATTTAAAATTAAGTCAAGTTTACTTGGCAATTTCACCATTTTGGCAACATGTTATTAATATAATTGCTCAGGTGGTTTTAAACGTCCCTCTAAACATACAGTATTAGGATTGTGAGACTGACCTCGTTAATGTGGTATGATCGTTGCGTCATACTCTTTTTGTTTTAAAATAATTGACATAGCTCCTACAATACCGATAGTACTATCAGTCTAGGGCCGTTTTCTACCATCAAAATAAATTACGATTTCACAAGCCCAAAGTTAATTTTTAACTTTGACAAGGAATGCTTATTGGTTTATGTTTTTTGGCAAAAGAGAGACTATTCAACTATTGTATTGTTTTAATTGATTAGAGTGGTTGAATGTGTTTACTAGTTGTACAATAGAGTACTACTCCACTTGCTATAGGTTTTTGGTAGTATGCTTGTAAAATGTAAACTATTGTTGTTATTGCAATTAATGCCCATACATTTAATAATAGTGCACTAGTTGAAATTGTTAATTATATATATACAGAGTACACTACAAGTCTACAATGGTTAAATTTGAAATTGTTTCCATTTCTAATCAATATATATTTGTAATTTTAATCAGCCCTCAAGCTATATTCAAGGATCCATTCAGAAGAGGAAACAATATCCTGGTGAGTTGTCTTTCTTTCAATAAGGAATATGATATACACAGCTCAAAAGCCGGCTTTATTTGAAAAGTCAAAGCTATAATTTTTGTACTATTTTATTACGACAACCTATCAAAATCGCTTGATTAATGACAATCTATACTAATATATTAAAAGGTGTTACTAAGAACATCTCTGTGCCATGTAAACCACGCCACATCACCTACTCCATCTCAAAAGTAATGATAAGGGGATTCGAACTCCATCTCAAAAGTAATGATAAGGGGATTCGAACACCCAACATTTTATGAGAAAGATACTTACTTAACCATCTAAGTCAATTATAAACTATGTTGTAAACATAAAAATAAATGTAAATTGATAATCATAAGTTCTAACTAAAGTAGCAACCTGTGCAACACTCGGGCTACACACTAGTTATGAATTATTAGAAGCTCACCAACATATCATTATTCACCGCAATAGGAAATTAGGAAGAAGGAATTTATTTTATTTTTATTTTTGTAAAGAATAAAAGTTAGGTTGACATGTATTGCACTATCGTTTGATAACTCCAACAAAAACAAAAAAAGTACAAAGAGGACAACTTACGTTGGTATGATAATGACATTAATGATGTTACTTTAATAAAAATGATTTTATTTATTTTTTATTTTATTTTATTTTATTTTATTTTTATTTTTATTTGACGGCCTTACAAAGTTGTTAATGTAATAGGTTATGTGTGATGCGTACACCCCAGCTGGTGAGCCAATTCCAACAAACAAGAGGTACAATGCTGAGAAAATCTTTAGCCACCCCGACGTTGCTGCTGAGGAGCCATGGTACCATTTTTCATCCTTAAAACTCCTTTTCTTCGCGATTCTCCAGAATATAAAAATTTATAACGACCCTAAGAAATTGTTATGATACGAGTATTTTTTTTTGTTGTTAGCTCTTATATATTTGTGGTATATTTAAGAATCTATTGGTTGATAAATTATCACAATTATTATAATAATGCTGGAGTATTATTATTATTAGTATGATTTTGATTTAGTCAAAAGATAATTAATTGAATGAAAGTTTGTGACACTCTTTGATTGATACTATAGAAAGTAGAATCTTTTATAGTGTGACACTAAAATTGTACAATAGTATTAACGAAGAAGGCGTACGAAAGATAGATTCAACTTTAGCTAGTGGAGCTCAACTAATTATAAATGTTTGATGTGGGTCCTACTTGTATAATCTTTAATTGACTTGGTCAGTCTTAAAGCTCATCATCTTATGAAAGTCACCAAACTTTTTAATTAATTAACAAACTTTTTAATTAATTGGTGGCTTGGTCCTTGGTGTATAATAAAAAAAATGAATAATCAACGGTCCATATTGTTAGACTTGCTACTCACTAGTGTGCTTAAATTGATTAATATTTGTTTAAATTAAAATAAAAAAATAATGAAATAATTAATACTACAAAGTGTTTTTTTTTTTTAAATTTTTTTTTAATATACGGTGTATTTTTTGCTTTATTATTAAAGAGATTGCTTTCCAAATTAAGGAGTAATTAATGTTCCGCACGTCAACAAATTGTGATAGTCTTAATCATAAATGTTTAATTGTCAAAGGGGGATGATGTTACATGATGTTATACTACTTTAAGGGTTTGTTCTGATTGACTGTGTTGAGCTGAAGTGAAATTGTTAGACTTGCTACTCACTAGTGTGCTTAAATTGATTAATATTTGTTTAAATTAAAATAAAAAAAATGAAATAATTAATACTACAAAGTGTTTTTTTTTTTTTTAAATTTTTTTAATATACGGTGTATTTTTTGCTTTATTATTAAAGAGATTGCTTTCCAAATTAAGGAGAAATTAATATACGGTGTCAACAAATTGTGATAGTCTTAATCATTAATGTTTAATTGTCAAAGGGGGATGATGTTACATGATGTTATACTACTTTAAGGGTTTGTTCTGATTGACTGAGTTGAGCTGAAGTGAACTGAACTGAACTAAATATTTTACGAGAGAAGAAAAAAATTGAACTGAACTGAAAATAATCTGAAGAGAACAGACCCTAAGAGGTGTGTTACTTCAAGTAATAAGTTGTAATTACATTTTGAGCTTAAAAAAAAAATAGACTAGTGGAAATCTAATTTTCAAAGTTTTATTCGCTTTTACTTTATCTATTTTTGACCTTCATTTGCTGGATCCTATAAGTTCTCATTGATTTTCATTGTTACGAAATATGGAAAAAACTATATATGGTGAATTTCCCGCAAACTTATAATTTATAAGATGTATCATCGTAGTCTAGGTACTACGAATCTTAGATAATACTCTATTATGGTACTATCTAGCTTTTGTAATTTGGAGGATGCCGTACTGCACTTGTTTATGTCTGAATTATCCTTTACTTCTTTTGGATTTCACACGTGATTTAGGTTATTTTTGGAGTAGTGTATTTTTAAGGAGAATTGATTTGAATTTGGTTTGGGTTTATGGTCCACTAATACAAATAAGTATAAACCTCTATTTTTGTATGATCTTAATACTTTTTATTTTGGTTTGTTTATAAAGTTTTATTTATTTATTTATTCCATTGTGGCAAAAACTCTTTACCTAATTAACTTTTTTAAGCACACACTTTCAAACCTTTGTGAAATATTTAAATGCTATTATTATTCATACTCCACTTATAATTTATCCATTTTTTTTTTACATTCACACACTTTTCCTAAATCGTGAGAATACAACATTATTCAACTACAGATTACCTTTTAAAAAACAATCGATGATGAAACTTTATTAAGAAAAAGAAAATAATTCCATCGCGGTGTATCGACCCCCAAATAGGTGACACGATGGGTCTATGCCTTTTGGCCTCTATACACATTTTCTCTCCAACCTTTAGCTTGAGCACATTATGGCATCGGTGTTATTGCTCCTTTATCAAAACAAACAAACCAAAACATTGTACTCTATTATGTTTGTTTTGATCTATTTGTAAGAAAAAAAATTTCTAGTAATAATTTTAGGATAACATGTGAATCTTTATTTTGTAGCTGTCTTCTAGTACGGTGTGCTTGATAACTGAAGTGTTCACACATCAATAAGTTAGGTAGGGTTTTAGGAGTGCCTATCTTTTTATTTTTGTGCACTTATCAATTATCTAAGTGTTATGCCTTTGTAATTTAATGTGGTACCACTCGTTTATAATTCGGATGGTACGTCGTTTTCGTGTGAGCTACAAATGTCACGTCTTGTCTTTGCTTAGCTTGATGCTATTGCTTTTTATCAACAACTATTTTTTGTCGAAAATCATTTTGATAGAAATTTAGTTCGTGTAATAGTAGAAAGGGACATAATAACTTTGTTACATCTTGAAAGTAGTATAGAATAATAGGATGTCATGTTTTGTGATAACGCTTTTGAAATATCAAGTATGTATTCTGTTTTTTTAAATCTCTGCTAATGTACATTGCCAAAGACGCCATTCACTCTTTTTACAAACGTGTATTACGTGATTATTTGGTTAATCATCTGAAGTGTCATTAGATTTGATGATAAGGAAATCCGGAATTGAGAACATAACACTTTGTATATATAAACATTTTTCTAATTTATAGTCCTTTTTTGTCGTTAATTGAGAAGTATTTTATTGAAGTTTTGCGTGTATTCGAACTATTCAGGTATGGCATTGAGCAAGAATATACACTCCTTCAGAAGGATGTTAACTGGCCTCTTGGATGGCCAGTTGGTGGCTTCCCCGGTCCTCAGGTAATTTCGTAAATAATCATTTGTCACTTGTAACTCTCGTTGCATGTTTGATTTCTTATATCTTTATGCACTCGCGTCTAGATGACCAAGTGTTTGTGCAATGTTTTTGGTTCATTTAGGGGCCATACTATTGTGGTGTAGGGGCTGATAAATCGTTTGGCCGAGACATTGTGGATGCTCACTACAAGGCCTGCATCTATGCTGGTATTGATATCAGTGGAATTAACGGCGAAGTCATGCCAGGACAGGTATGAAATGCCCTTTTCTTTTCCTAAGACTTCAAGCATAAAAATTTCTTCATTTTTGTTTAGTATTTACCTCTGCATTAGCCTCAAATCATCGTTCTATATCGAATGCCTTTTATTCCTCGTTAGCAACATTTCTTGCAGACCGACCAAGTAACTCTGTAGTCTGTAGTGTCTGCTTCATGCTTTGGTGAAAAATTAGCAATTCAAGTTGATTTGTTTAACTAGTACTCTGTAGTTTCCCTGTTTGTAACATAATTCGCTGTTTAAATTAAGCCTGCTGTAATCTTTCATGCAGTGGGAGTTCCAAGTTGGTCCTACTGTTGGAATTTCATCTGGTGATCAAGTCTGGGTTGCTAGATACATTCTCGAGGTATTATTTTCTTTTTTCTTACTCGTCTCTATTCGCTCCTTCATTCTTTCCCTTTTATTTCTGTGTCTGATCCATTGTTGATTAAATGAACAGCGAATTGCTGAGATTGCTGGAGTAGTTGTTTCTTTCGACCCCAAACCAGTCAAGGTTCGCCATATTCTAGTTGCCTTTGTTGTTTTCTTTGCACGTTTAGCTAATACAGAAAAAAATTGAAATAAAAAAATAACCCAAGAGTTTGTCTATGAACGAGAAAATTTGAATATTTTTATACTTATGTGTTTGTTCGTCTCAAAACAAACAGGGTGACTGGAATGGTGCTGGTGCTCACACCAACTACAGGTAACTATAAATTTCTGCTTTGTACAAGTATCAATAATGTTCGAACTTTGAAGTTGAAATTAGATTGTAGATTTTATGGTTGCAACTTTATTGTGTGCATCATTTTTTCAGCACTAAGTCAATGAGGAGTGATGGTGGGATCGATGTTATTAAGAAAGCCATCGAGAAGTTGAGCCTCCGCCACAAGGAGCACATTGCTGCCTACGGAGAAGGCAATGAGAGGAGGCTCACTGGTCGTCATGAGACAGCTGACATTACCAAATTCTCATGGGTAAATTTCATCATAACCTTGATCAAGAATTAGCTTATTATCAAAGTAGTAGAATCTTGGGTAAATTTCATGCTGATTTATTGTGATCAGAATCTTGTTTTAAGTACTTAATATTTTGTTGTAAATGCTTCAAATTTCAGGGTGTTGCAAATAGGGGTGCCTCTGTTCGTGTTGGTCGTGACACAGAGAAAGACGGCAAAGGTGTGTAATTCTGAAAATCATTGCTCTACTTGATGTTTGAGATTAATAAGCACGATAGTAATTGACAAATTTTCAAAAGTTCGTACTGATAGTTATTCTTTGTTCATACGTGTATGGATTACGTGCATGTGTAATATTGATATATAGTAGGGTAAAAATAGGTGCTATAAATGTAAGTTTTTATTTCTCGAGGAAATTGGCCATGGAAATCTAAAGTCGTATGTACATTGTTGCATCAACAGGTTACTTTGAAGACCGAAGGCCAGCATCAAACATGGATCCTTACGTGGTTACCTCCATGATTGCTGAAACAACCATCCTCGGGAAGGTTGATGCTTAATTGCAAGGTTTTGACAAATTTAGCTGGGGCAATTCAACATTTATGATTATGTGAATTTGGATTATCTTTGGTGTTGAATTTGTGGTTAGACTGCCTTTGCATTGTGAACCTAGTACTAGCAGTACTACTTTGTTATGTCACAACAATAATTTTTCATTAAAAGTTGGAGTACATGGTTTGTGCTTCTCTTAACCTGTGTTTTCACAGGAACTTTTCAATTTCGTAAAATGATAAAGTCAAATTTCTAATAAGTTAATGTACTATACCCAACAACTATGGTAGAGTGCACCTTATTTTCACTTATATCAAATCCGCAGATGAATATAAATGCAGTTCATGGTTATCAAGAGATACCTCAATAGAATAGGAAGAGCTTGCACCTATAAAAACTGACTTATTGCCTAGGCTTGGCACTTTCTCGAGCATCCCATCATCGACATTCAGCTCAAATACCTCGAATCTTCTTGTGAGTCGCCTAGGGTAGAGCCAAGGGGTATCGTAATCCATCGTGGGGATATCTATCCCCATAACCTGCCGGATGACTAACAATTGACCTACTGATTCAACCAAGTAATAGTAGTAATACTCTTCATAATCATATCCAAAACTTTTGTAAGCATCAAGATTATCTAGTTCCGTCACATAATCGAATTCTATATCAGCCTATCAGGTGTGTGTGCCAACTGAGTGATGACTTGAAATGAGCATTACCTTGAACTGTCTGAAATTTGACAACCTTACCAGAGAAACTAACTCCATAAAACTCCCCTTGATAACAAGTTATGTCATAGCATCTAGCCATGATTATTTTGACCTAAAAGACCTTGGAATTGATGCAAGTTTCCATTAGTCTTTTCTTAGTATATTGTGTAATGCGAGTGAAGCCAATCAATTATATTGAACAAAATGTGTGTATCTATTGTATCATTTGTACAAAATCCAATGCTACATATTGAACAAAATTATTACATCTTAAAAAACAAAGGGTACATTTTTTTCGCAAGGAGTTGAGATTTGAGAGGTGTTGTTGAGGAAAGAGTGTTAATACTTAAAATTGTCATAACTTGTAGACAGGGGTAATGCCAAGAAGTTCAAAACACTTCCGCATTACCACTGCTGTAGCTTCACATAACAAGAGTCTGCTTGTTTCTTCTGCTGAGCCATTCACCTGTAATTCATGAATTAAACTCATCAAAATATGACACAAATCGAAAACCCGACTAGCTCTATTTTGGAACTCAATTGGAAACCCACCAATGGGAAAAAAAAGGCTCTAAATTAGACATGACACTCTCTTTAGAAAAAAAATAAAAATAAAAGAAATAGTCGGATAGTTGTGATTCTATTATAAATTTACCTTGCAGTTGTTATAGAGATTTGTGAAATAGTCTGATAAATCATACAGGTACTTGCATAGTACATTAGGCAATAGATTGCAACAAGCCTCCTCAACAATCTGAAATCATGGAAAGCAAGACCTTGTTTAGATGCCAAGATTAAAACAAGCAGTACATTCTAAAGGTGTTCTAAAAATTAATATTTACCTCAGAAAACTGAAGCAAATGAAGCCCCAATGCACGCTCATGTGTATTGCCCAAAACTATCTCCCCAACCTACAGCAAACAAGCCGAAAAGTCATCAGACAGCAAGCATGCAAAAACATCAGTTAGCCAGTGAAATTTAAAAGCTTCACCACATTTTCTGGATGTGATTTGGAAGCCAAGTGAGAAAAATAGCTCACCTTCTTCAGTTCTTCCATGTCTTTACCGGATTTCCTGATAATCGAACAAATTCGAGCATGTGCATAGAGCAAATAAACAGCAGTATTTCCCTGCCACCAAAATGACAAAGCTTCATTAACAAAGCTCAACAAGAAATGCAAACTTAATGAAAATGCAAACTATATAAAACTTTAAACACTTCTCCTCCATTCAATTTTATTTGCCTCAGATTCATATTATGGAGGGAGTACTCTTTATTGATTGAAAAAGGTAAATATAAAAATACACTCCTATAATTTGAATTCAAAGGTCAATTTTCATACTTCACCATAATTTCTTAAAAATGAGACCAATAATTGAGTAGCTTAGCTGAAAAAAACGACATAAGGGGAGTAATGATAAATAATAACATTAAAGATTTCCCTCTTTCATAGCAGTAGTATTCTGACAAGACTAAAAATTTAGAGAAAGGGAATGCCAATATCACAGAGAACAAGAAGCACCTTATCATTAAGCACCAGCTTAAAGCTAAAGGTGTAATCTGTGAATCGATTGTCCTTCAAATCAAAATACCTGAGAAAAGATAACAAACATATACATAATCAGTGTAACTCAATCAGTGCCTGAACAAGTACCATAAAATTACTGCATCAAACACGTATTAGGCAATGTTGCAGTAAAAAATTGACCACAAATAATGTGAAGATTTATGAAAATGTTCACAAAAATTGCTTATTTCAAGTAATTGCTACTCACTCAGTGTCTCCATCCAATCGAAATATATTTAATTGTTCACAAATACTACAACACCGTCCATCAGTACACCACCCCAGTGCCACTTAAGTGTCACAAATACCGGGAGGTTCAAATGGTGCAGCCCAGCCCAAAAGGCAGACCTTCGAGCAAGACTGGTAACAAAAGGCTATTCAAAGAGAGAGTTTCACTTGCAATGGTAAACATATATGTGTGCCCAAACATGGGGAAAAACACACTAATCATGTCAATTTATAGCAGGCATTATAGGGACTTAGTTGCTGAAATGGCTTGTCTTGAATAGAAAAATAAGAGGGGAATGACAGTGTTATTTGCCACTTTATAAAACAAGAGACGTGATACACAGAGTTTACACGAGTCTTATAGCCTATAATGCACCATATGTTACAAAAGGTGCAATACAGATTTCTGCAGGAAATCTGTATTGCTAAGTAAAAAAAAAAAAAAAAAAAAAAAAAAAAAAAAAAAAAAAAAAAAAAAAAAAAGTGGCATCTCAAGTTAATGTAAAGAAATTGGCATTTTCATTAGTTAGGTGAAAGTGTGAAAGTGAAGAGTCTAGTAAAACAGAACCTCTTCTAGAAGGCTGTTTATGGCAAGTAGCTGATGAAAGTTTGCTAACTATCAATTCATGATATTGTAGGCTTTGTTCAAATGACATTATTGTAAAAAACTACGGTGTGACAAGGTTAGTATTGAGCATTTAGGTTCCAAGTTAGAATTCACTCATAAACCTTGAAGCTCAGATCATCCTGCTAGTAACTAAATAAATACTTGTTGGTTATACACATCTTGAAAGTGAAGCAAATTTGCAGTGAATAGATGTATCATGGAAGGGACTTCAACAGCGAATTCAAATACTTACTTTACAGCTCCATAACCCACTGCTTCAGCAGTCTCCTCCAGCTCCTCCTCAGTCCACTCCGCTGCTTTACCTATTGGGGATTAATTTGGTTGGGTAAGCTACAATTGAATATTAAGATATAAAGATGAAAATTTCTAGAGTTGAGACCACCAGGAAACAAGATAAATTCAGAAGACAGGATGCTCAAATTAAAGGAATCAAATAGGCAATATTCGTATCTATTTTGTTGCACCTCGATCAACAAGTGCTTGTTTGCTCAGTTTTTTTGCTTCATCAAGTAAATCAGCCAGACGAACTACTTCATTGCATCGAGTACGTAAACGCCTGTGATCAACCCCCAACACAAGACCAAAACCCACATGAGTAACTTTAGGGTATGCATTGTCATCACTTGGAAGCCACCCTGCTCGCTTTGCTGCCTGTTAAATATCAAATTACAGATGTTAAACAAGACACGAAAGTAAAAGATGCACTCAAGTACAAGGCATCAGATACTGTTACAAATAAGTAAACAATTACATTCAATAAAATCAGTGAGAAAAAAGGAGGTTATGCTTAATCCTTGAATAAAAATTATAATAAATGGATAATGTACTAACAAAAGCCTCCAAAAGAGGCACTGATAATATCAACAATCACACCGTATATAACTATGCATACTTACATGGAAGACCATTTCAAAGTGCTCACGCTGACCAACATCGGTTACATATATAATCCATTCAGCTTTTTCTTCGTTTAGGCAGTACCTAATTGAAATTAGTAAAATAACAGTCATTTCGGAGGTAAAAGTCAGACAAACGACAAAGCCTACAAAGGGCAAAAGAGGCTATGAAAATTTGGGAAGACATACAAGAGTAAAGTTATGGCAAAAATGCGCTTTTAAAAACACATGCTGTATAGTTAAATACACACAACTTACCAAAGAGCAGTTAAATCAGTCGAAGCATAGTTAAAACCACCATCTTTCTTGACAACGATAAGAGGAATGGTTTCTCCTTCAATCTGTATAACTTGTGCTCCTTCGCTTTCTTCAATCAATCCTTCATTCCGCAGGCCCTCCAAAACCCTTGAAATGTAAGGATTATAAAAACTTTCACCCTGAATTGTGCAGGAAAATGTGCAGATGGTGAGCATAGAACTCAAACTATAGAAATAATCTAAAAGCTAATAAAAAATAATTAGTAAGTATGAATAGAAGTACAGAATACCTTTTCCTCTATGTGAACTTTGAGACGATTATAAACTTTCTGAAATTCCCTACGACTTATTTCACATATTTGAGCCCATGCCTTCAAATACTTAGGTTCTCCACTCTGTGCACAAGCAAATAAAATGAATATAGAACACCAATAAAGAAAATATACTCATACTTGACTATATCAGCAAACACATACAAGCTTTTAAGCAACTAAAATAAACTAGCAAACGTTGTCCAATTGTTTACCTGAAGGCTCACCACCGCCTTTTGTGCCCTTTCCTTAAAGCTGGAATCATTGTCAAATCTTTTTTGGATTGTTTGTAGAAGTCCTAAAAACAAAGCAAGTAAATTCCCAAGTCAAAATCTGCATCCACTATTTTGCTTATCACAGGCCAATCAAGCATACAAGATCATAAATCTTAAAACAATAAACCATATGTAGGCATCTAACACACATCCAACCAAACAAACACTAAGCAAATCATGATTGTGAGATCAAAATAGTTCAGAAACAAAACATATGAAAACACCAAAGACCGAAAAGTTTGAAGAAGAAAGGATTTACATTAGATATGACACTACTACTAAGTAACTACAAGCAATTTTCACTTGCCTGAAGGTCCTTGATAGGAATTTCTTTGTCATCCTCCCATTGTGGCCATTGCTCAAATAGAAACTCCATCAGCATGCCGAACTACATGTAGT